AAAAAATTTCAACTAGAATTTGATTTATTTTGAAGTAATGTTAACTAATTTTATATAATATTAAAGATGAGTACTCACTATGTTAGATTGGATAAAGTATGCAACTGTTAAATCCGGATCGAGACTACATAAGAAGCAATAGTTTTCGTTAAAGTGAATTGAGGTAAAATTTTGGTAATTTCAAGGCGACAATGGTACATTTTTTTGTATGGCGGGTGGATTTCGCAATGTTTCTGCTTTACAGAAATCGAAAATTGATGCCGAAACCTTGAGAGGAACCGTTTTGGGCTCTGGCATTTCGAGTGAAAGCGATTCTTTTGCCGCCTCGTTATCCGCGCCTAGGCTGCTTGCTGCATTATTATCCGCAGCTCGAGAGTGGAGAGAACTCGTTCTCTGTTCTCTTCCTCCTTTTCCGTTCTCCTCGCGAATAATGATATGCGCGAAAAGGCATATACATTATTTGCCGGGGAGTTTCGGTATTGTATTTTAATTTATTCGATGTGTGCGCTTCGCGCCGCTCATCCTCTTCTTCTACAACGTCGTCGCCGTAGTCTTCGTCCACTGTTTTTTACGTTTCGTTTGTTTTCCGCTCGCTTCGATTGCGGGGGTGGATGGAACGGAATGGAATGGAACGGTGTGTCTGTATGTATGGAAGATGGAGAGAGAGAGAGAAAGTGAGTTGTAAATAGTTGAAGGAAGAGCGAGAAAGACGGAGGGAAAGGTGAATAAAACGCATTAACAATGAAGGGCGGTATAACAGAAAATTAGCATAAATACATGTTACATTGTGTCGCCGGTGCGGGCGCACCCTGCGAATGCTTCGGAACCGATGAATGTCAATCAATTATTGCTGTTGTTGTTGAGAAGAAGATTACTTGTTCCGCGCGAAACTCTGAGGATGTGTCTCTCCTTCTATCTCTTTCCCTCCCTGTTATTTATTACTGTCAGAAGAGAAATTCGATTAAATATTGAATATTTTCGGATCTGACAACGGAATCTGTTACTCCTTTTTCGGTCCATCTCATGATGATGATGATGATGACGATGACGACGACGCCGCGCCACGGGTATATGACATTCTTTCGACTCTATTTATCATAACCGATCGTCCATCAAAGTTACCAACAATGAACTCAACACCGCCCTCCCGTGCACCAGGCTTATCTCGCGAGATCAGACGCACCGCTCTTTCCTTCTTTTAATCCTCCTCTTCGTCTTGTACCTGTCTGGCGTAGGCGACCACCTTGGGTCAGAAGGCGCGCGCGAGATGGCGCGCACTTTGGACCCTCAGCCAACCTCTTTCTCTCTCTCTCTCATTCCCTCTGCAAGTCATCGACTTATTATCATAAACTAATGGAACGAATGTCATTCCGTTTGACACATTCTTTCAGTTTCATGTCTTTCTCTTCTTTTTTTTTTTCGTTGTCTTTCATTCTCCTTTGTACGCGCGCACACACGCGGTCTATAACAGAAATAAAAGATGTATAGGATGATGATGGTAGGTACGCGCATTGTTCTGTCCCGAGATTCACAACAACACGCATCTCCATCCCACTTTTTCATCTCTTGATCCAGAAAAATTACAGCCTAGATGAATAGACACGAATCTGTTCCTTTGAATACACCTCTTCATAATCTACATTCACAATTAGCTTTACAACTTCATTCAAAATTTATACAAACTTCTTACAATTAATCTTACAACATCATTAAAATTTCTTAATTCAAATTAATTACTAATTGAAAATACTCAAATTACAATAATAAATTAAGTTAAGTGACATTATTTAAGTTGCAACTACATAACTATTTGTTGAAGTTTCCAAATATAAGAAACTTTGTCTTGTCTTTACAATCATTTATTTATCAAATAAAATGATGTTGAAAATCTCTTCCTTACGCAACAAAATTACACAAAATAAACGAAATTTAATTCATGTTTTCGTTGTTATAAATTTTTTTCTTTTAGAAATTTGTTCTTTTGTTAAATTTTTTCAATTTTTTGTAAAATTTATTGAATCAATTGATATTTTGACGTAATAAAATAGTAATTAAAAGTATATTGGATAAAATATTAACTTAAATACAAAAGGTAATTAAAATGTAATTATTCTATTAGATTGCATGCAGAAAACCACGAGATTTTTTTTTCTGGTAAACTTAAATGGTCACATATCTAAGTTATAACCAAGGAAACAATAGCAATTGGCTAAATCTTCTCGATCTTTGCTTACATAAAATGATGTGGATTGTATAATATACCGATCGTAATTGTCGGATCGGACGATATTCAAATGAGGCGGTTTTGGATATTATTATTAACTGTTCCTCTTTCTTTTCGACGTCCACTTTATTCTAAATCTTTTGTTTTCGCACACACGCCGTAGTCATAACAACAATAATGATGCCGAAAGCGTAGAAATAATGACAACAACAATAACAAGTATAAAAAATAATAATTATTATTATAAAATAATTACAAATAAAACGAGGTTTTTGTGGTTGCTGCAGTAAATCACGTATGGGTTGTTATAATTTAAGTAACATGCAAAACGATACTTATGCAACATAGGGTAAAAACCACATAACAACTGTAAACTATTATAATACTTATATAAAACTGTTGTACTGTAAAATATTTTCTTAACTAGCTTTTTTTTTAAAAAGTAATTAAAAAAATGAAATTTTTACATTTCCATATTATTAATTAATTCAATAATATATTTTTCATTAATTAACAGAAATTAAAAATTTATGACAAAATATAGAAATTTTTATGTTTCTGTTGTTTTAATAAACAAAATTAATAATTATAAATAAATATTTTCAATATATTTCTTCTATTTGCTAAATATTTCGGAACGAGGAAATGAAAAAGGTCATTTTTTCTAAAACTCAGGTATGCTTTGGGGCAATCGGATTAACACCGGTCATTTTTCAGCAAAGAGGATGTTTCTATGTAGGAATTAAGAAGGACACACAACAACAAAAAAAAACGAAATGACAATGATCAAGTTGTGAACACGTGAAAAGGATATAAAGCTATAATTTGTCGGCAGCCGAAAACAAAATTATATCCATGCAACAACTTGATTATTAGTATTATTGTTGAACAAGAAAGAAAAAAATAAAAATGTAAGAAAACATATATTTTTCAGCAATTTTTATGATGTATGACTGTAATTTTCTTATTTCATATCTAAATTCTTTGAAATTGCAAAAAAATATGTATGATACAGATACGTTTATTGAAATAATTGTCTTATAACCTAAAATTAAAAGAGAATTTCAAATAATAAAGAAATAGGTTTGTTTCTTATATATATAAGAGAAATGAATGAAATAAAGTAAGGAAATATTCTAGAAATATTAGATTTTACGAATGAAGCAATAGTATAAAAAATATGAGTCATATCCTATAAAAAATCAGTTATAATACATTCATTTTTATACAAAGAATGAGACTTTATACATTTTATTACTGGATGTTAAAATTTTTATATAACTTTCGAAATCAATGTAGGTTTTTTTTATATATCTAAGAAATGTTAAAATTAGAACAAAATTTCATTCATACAAGAAAAGTGTGTGGATAAATGTTGTTTAAATGTGACATTAGTGACGTAATTGACAATTGTTTGAGAATGACATATGTCATGTTATGTCAAAGCTGTAGATGACAGCTGTCATAGAGATGCGTTTTCGATGAGATTATTCAAATGTGAGTCGGGAGGAACGCGTAAATTGCCATTTGCAGGAAGATCTCGTTTTGGCGATGCGAGTGGTATTCGCCTCTCCGATGATCAAATTACAGGCTTCCCCCAAATTTGGGTAAGCGGTAGCAGCGACGGCGGTGGCGGCGAGAGAGTAAGAAAGAGTGAGTGAAAGAGAGAAAGAGATAAAGAGGTTATAGGTGTAATAGGTTATAACATATATATGTATGAAGAGTCAAGTCGAGAAAGAAATCCCACATACGTGAATTTTCCCCCGGAGCGGTCCGACGGGGGGGCCTTGGGAATTCTTCGTTATGTAACATCTGGAGGCGGTTCGTGGCCGTTCCGTCGAGCATAAGAACAGTAGTTTTGCATGGAACAGCGATGATGATGAGGGTGTGAGTGTGTATTGGATGTGTGTGTATGTGTGTGCGCGAGATGCGTTCGTTCGGCAATACGGAAAGGTAGTAATTTCAAGGAGTGTAATATTAAAGTAGTAGGGAAATGAGAAAATGAGACCTTTCACCGCGCCAACCCGTTGACCAGAAGCTTCTTTGGCTCTGAAGCGTCGTCCTCATCGGCGAGAGGTTGCATCATCATGTTCATCCCAATATCGATAAAACGAGTCTAACGAATGTCGTAATAATCCTGTTGCAGAATCGAACAAGCAGAAGACGAAGAGGAAGAAATAAGAAGAAGGAACTCTCGAGGCAAAGGAACGGAGAGAAACCGCGGAATCGTGACCCGGAGACGAGCTCTGAAAAGGATTCCCAGATACGAGAGTGTGAGTGTGTGTGCCTCTTATATATACAACAACAAATACAACAAAAAAAAAATAAACGTAAAGAGAGACAGAAAAATCCGAATCGAGAGAGAGAGAGAGAGAGCGAGAAAGCGCAAAATTTATATGTAAAAAGGGAAATCCTGGTCCGAGGAAAATTCCTGCTGGCGCGAGATCATATACTACCACCACTACCACCTTTTCGCATAACCACCATAAATCCCCCATCCGACCCACCCGAAATCATCATCATCAGATCATCGGCTCATCCTCTCTTCTGATCCGCGTTTAAAGGATTCTGTGTGTGTGGAACCGTGTTGCGGAAAACTAAAGAAATAAAAACAAAAAAGTCCCGGTAAACATAGTAAATAGAAATATAAACCTCCTCTATATAATACACACACACACACTTCAATATATATATATATTTATATACATTTATATACACCACACACAAAATCATTATATAAAAAGTAAATAAATAAATAAATAAAAAAAAAATAAAGCGTCAGGCCCGAGATAAGAGCCAGCCAGAATGTTCGCTATAATGCAGATAGACAACGACGTCAGCGGCAGGGAGTTCAGAAGGAAGATGCGAGCCAAGTGCGAATTCATCTGCAAATACTGCCAACGCAGATTCAACAAATCCTACAACCTAATGATCCACGAAAGGACACACAAAAGCCCTGAGCTCACCTTCAGCTGCGAGGTCTGCGGCAAGAGTTTCAAGAGGCAGGACAACCTCAAACAGCACAGGTAATTATTATCCAAATTTTTTTTTTACTTAATTCACTTCACATAACAAAACTTAAGTATTTTTTTTTAATAGAAAATCGATACACTTCTCGCACGCTTCAATCAAATTAAGATTTTTATACTAAAAAATTTAATTAATTATAACCTACAAACACCAATTTCTCAAAAGAAAACGAAAAATAATCAAGCTTCTTTTTTTTTCATTAATTCAATTTCTTTTTTTCACTCAAATTTTCACCTCTCACATTTTTATTATTACAAATTAATTGATCGAACATGTTTCAACGTTAAATAACTAACCTCAAATTTAAGGCGAGCGACGGAGTCACGTTGTCTGTGAAATTGAAAGTTGTTTTTTGTTTTGTTTAATTAATCTTTAATTGCTTAATTAATTAATAATTATCTAAATTAGAAAAAAATATTTACATTGTTTTTCTAATTAAAGCGGATTTTATTTTACTTTTTTTGTTATTAAATCACTAAGAGAAAAGCACTTTTATAAAACAATTGATGCGCGTTCACTGGGAGCGACGGCGTTCGTATGTTGTTTCCAACAAATTGCGAACGGTTTGCACAACTCGCTGAGTTATAGAAGTCGTATAAATATAATTTATTAATGGAATTTTAATATACAGAAGTCATTCTGTAATTGTTTCATTATTTTCAAATATTTCATTTTTATACAACAATATACATAAAATTTTATTAAAGTCGTTTAATTAATGAATTTTTTTTTTCTAAATAAGCACAAAATTCAATAGTATTTTACAAATAATTGGAGAAATGAAACATTTAATAATTTTTTAATTTGACAAAATTTAATACTTTTCAAATTATTTTACTTTTTATTACAATTTATTACAATTTTGACTAAATTCAATTTTTAGTCAAGTTTTACTCAAGTTTAATACACAAATAGTTTTTATTTTAAGCAATTTTATCTACTTTTGATTGTAATATTTTTATTTGTTTTAATTCTATAAAATCTCAGTATTTTGAAATTCTTAATTTAATTATGATTATTGTTTTATTTACGATTTTCAACTTAAAAATGATAAACCTACATTTTTTTCTTTTAAATCGTCATCATAACTCAATCAAATTTTAAATTTCAAGAGATTTTCTTCAAAATTTCACCAATAGATCAAGAAATATTTAACATTTTTTTAGAAATTTTCAAATTATTTCCATTCTATAACAATAAATTTTTATTTAAGTTGTTAAATTTTACAATTTTTTAATAAATTAATCTATATTTTTACAAAATTTCGTTTGAAAATTGAATAAATTCTAAATTTGTTAGAAAAGTTAAAATTTCATTGCTTCAAATTACATTTCTCAATTAGATTTGTACAAAATAAATTTGTGAATGCATATTTTTATGGAGAAATAAACAGGTATTCTTTGTTCGTTTCGGATTAGCTAGAAAACCAAGTGCAACGTGAAAAAAAAATATGGAGCGTGTTTGCCTTTTGAAATACAATTCGTGTCACACACATGGAGGACTTTTTCCTGGAAGCAGCGCAGAGATAGAAATAAACAAAAAAAATATATATATATATGGAAAAAAAAATGTACACAGTATCGTGTAACAAATATTTAATTAAGAAATTACACGATAAAACGGGAATGATTCCGTGTGTCGGCCCTTTTCATCATATCACCTTCACCTGTCGTTTTTTCCACTAACGAAAATTATGCGCCATAAAACATGTATATACGTATAACGTACTTACCTACAACGATGATGATAATGACAGTTTTTTTTTTGTTAAGAGGTGCGGAGATATGCACTGAATGCACGTTTTTTTTACTTTAGATTGTAAATTATAAATAGATTTTATTGATTGACTAATTAAGATTATTTCAATTACTTAATTCATATTTTGTTAACAGATTCACTAAGTAAATTATTTCAGTTTTTTGTTCAATTCTCTAAGTTTTTATAAGATAAAATTTTGTAATTTCTTATTAACTTTAGTAAGCTGTCAAAGAAACGCCATCTATCGTCCAGTTATGAACAAATCTAATATTTAAATTAATATGCATAACAATTTCAATTACGTAATTATTATTATTTTTTAGTAATCATCAGTTTTTTGTTCAATTCTGTAAGTTTTTGTAAGTCAATATTAAGTAATTTCTTCTTAACTTTAGTGAGCTGTCAAAGAAACGCCATCTATCATCCAGTTATGAACAAATCAAATATTTAAATTAACATGCATAACAAAGTAACAATTTCAATTACGTAATTACTATGCTGTTAACAAATGCACTAATTAAATTATGTTTTAGTAATCATCAGTTTTTTTGTTCAATTTTGTAAGTTTTTATATGATAAAATTAAGTACTTTTTGCTTAGCTTTCGGGAACTGTCAAAGAAACGCCATCTATCTCTTTTATTAATTGTTTAATTAAAACTACTTAATTACTTCAATTACTCAATTCATATTTAGTTAACAGATTCACTAATTAAATTATTTTTAGTTTTTTGTTCAGTTCTGTGACCTGTCAAAAAAAGCGCCATCTATCGTCAAGTTATAAACAAATCTAATATACAAATTAATACGTATATAACAAAGTAAGAATTTCATGTGGCATTCGAATCAACTCACTTTCATATACTTTATACAATGATTTCATCCAAGTATTTCGCATACTCGTATTCATCTGTCATTGATTTTTTTAAAACTCTCGTGCAAGAGACGTGCAGAAACTCTGCAGCCGTTTTGTTCATTACTATTATTATTATTACGACAGGATTCCAATATCTAATTTCGAATTCTTTTCGTGCTTCCAATTGTGCATACCGATTAGCAGCGTATGTATCTATAATTGCGGGATTAATTGTGTTTTGAACACGTTTAAACGATTCAATCTTTTGCGAGGCAATTAAGCATTAAGTATTTCGCATCTGCATTTTTTATTTATGCAAATCTGAAACGAGAAGAGAAAAATGTGCCTGCTTCCACCTTGCAACGGTCGGAACGTTATTACGGTGTGTGCTTCTGACTCAAAACTCGAAACGTGCAATCATTTTATAATTTCTAATAATAAAGAGAAGTAATGGAGATATAAATCACTTTAATTGTTCCACCGTTATCGATTGTTTCTGCTATTTTTTTTTTAAATTTATTTCTTCAATAATTACTACCTTTGTATTGAAAAACAGTATTTGTTTCTTTAATGATTGGAAGTGTTGAGTAAATTAAGATTTTTTTTTCTTTGACTATTCCACTAATTAATTTAAACGTTTTCTTTTTTTTAATCAATTTCGCAAATATGACGCAATTATTTTTTTTTAACTAATTGACATTTTATAATTATCAACTTTATAATTAATGTTGTCATTAGAGCTGTCAATTTTAAGTACATTTATTATAGACAAGTAAATTTGACATTTGGACAAATGAAAAACAATTTATGTAATCAAGATTTTTTTAACATATTTTGAAAATTATATTCAATGACATAATTTATTGACGAGTGAATTTAACAAATGAAGCTGTCAAATTAAACTTACAATTTATGTTATCAATTACACTTGTCAATTAATTAACCTATAAAAATGACAGATTTTGAAATTTGACAATTGGACAAAAGAGAAATTGTCAAAATAAACAGATAAAAATTTACAATTTACTAGTTAATTTTCAATGCTCTTAAATTTACTTTCATCATTAATTATTGTAAATTATCAAACTTTCGTCAATTACAATGGCATTTAACAATTGTCAACTTTACCTTTTATGTTGTCAATTACACTTGTCAATTAATTTTAACCTATAAAAAATGACAGATTTGAAAGTCATACTCAATGACATAATTTATTGACAAGTAAATTTGACAATTGGACAAAAGATAAGTTGTCAAAATAAACTGTTAAAAATTTACAATTTAATCATCATTAATTATTGTAAATTATCAAACTTTTTTATTATGTTAATTACAATGACATTTAACAATTTATGTTGTCAATTACACTTGTCAATTAACTACAACCTATAGAAAATGACATATTTGAATGTCATACTCAATGACATAATGTAAATTTGACAATGGGACAAAAAAGAAGCTGTCAATATAACCGTATATAAAATTAGCATTAGTACACGCTTCGTTATTCTCTTACGAAACTTATGGAAGTCTTAACAAAAAAAAAATATTATTGCCTCGTTTTCTATTACGTCCATTATATCCATGATTTACGTGCGAGAAGTGTGAACAAAACAAAAAGCTACAAATTTATAGGAAAATCTCCGGGTTTTGGAGACGCTTTTCGTTTTATCCAAAGAAAAAAAAAACCGCGCGACGGCATTAAAAGACGAATAATGGATTCGTTTCACGCGTTATTTAAAACGCGTTAAATTTAACGACTTTCTCTTCCACCGACGGCAACAATACTGCGAATGTCCGTTTGTGCTGTCCGTCAAATCCAAATTTACTGAAATGTCATGTGCTTTTCCTTACGTGTTTCAGATGTAGCCAATGCATCTGGCGGTGAAGGGCTTCGAAGACGCTTCCTGAGGGAAGAGCCCAAGCGTCATCCCTCAGCACCACAACCCTTCAACATCGTAAGTATATAAAAAATAATATTTTTTTCAACAATTTTTTTTAACAATTATCGTTTTTTTCTCTGCTTTCAGGACTATAAAATCACGCACAATCCGGCCCCGACGCACATCTTCAACACCAAACCCCCCCTTTTTTTTCAAGATCTCTCCCCCATCTTGAACCCATCATTTATGAAACACTTTTACTCTACTTCTCAAATCTGCAAGCAAAAAAAAAACTCAAAATGCAACGAGTATATTCAGTATTTATTATTATTATGTAAATAAGTTGATATGATGTTATTATTTTGTTTTTGTGTAATTTTTGTAATTCCTCTTGAATCGAAGGCAAAGAAAAGTTCTCTCCATCCATCCAAAGGCCAGTATTAATTTTACAAAATAGAAATTCTAAAAATTTGCGCACGCACACAGACTACATACAAGAATAGCTACGATCTCTTCTAGTCTCTGGTATTTCTTCTTGTGCAATAATTAAAAACAAAAATAAATAAATATATAAATATTATTTAAAAAATAAGAACGGAAAGTGAAAGAATATTAAAGAAAACAATAATTAATTAAAAAAAAACCTTTTGTACATAACAATTATTATTATTTTATAACGCAAAATTTTTATATAGATATATTTAAATATTATATAAAGAAATTATATAAAAAAAACGAATTATATTATGTAGGAATATCTGTATTGATGAAATGCTTTACTATTTAACTGTTTTTTTTATTATTATATGTTTATTTTTTTACTACTATCATCATCAATCGTCACTTTGTAGTGAATTAGTTGGCAGTTATTATTGTATCACGTAATAATTATCTACACTAATTTTTCGCGTCGAGAAGTTGTTTATATGTTATATAAATTAAAATTTTGAACGCTGTGTACATTTTGCCTGGAGCAAAAGGTCCTCATACAACAGCCCGCTTCTTGACTATTGCAATAATTAATAAGATTGTATAACGTTTCCTAATTTCATTATTTTTTTTTCTTCTCATCAACTTCTCTCGTTTCTTTTTTATGTATTGACACCTAGTTTGTAGATCGACGAGGATTTATTTACGTTGGAGAAGAAAAAATAAATGATGGAAACACGAACATATGTTGCAATACTTTTTTTCTCTACTATTATATTAAATACTATACGTAACTAATTAGTTTATATTTATTAATTATTTTATATTTTTTAATGATTATCATTCTTTACTACGATTTAGAGAGCTTCAAAAGTGTACATTATATCTCTTCGATTATTATTATTATTTTTTCTGCTTACCCAATTATTTTTATTTTCGAAAAATTTATACTATAAAGAAATAATAAAAAAAAATCTTAAAAATTATATTTTTTTTTTGTTGACTTTTTATTTATTTATTTTAAGCATAATTCCTTCATCCTTAATCCTTAAAAAAAATATTTAACTTTGTGACAAAAAAAATATTTATTAAATTATTTCATAATTGATAATTGCAAGAATTTTATTTGCTAAATAATAAATAATGTTTACTCAATCCTGGACAAAATCTGACAATTTTATTAAAAATTATGTGATTTTCTATTTCAAATACTTATGTGCAGTATACAATAAGTATAGAATTGGACAAAATACACTTCCTTGCGGAACTTCCAACAATATTGGATACAAGTTTTTCAATACTTTCAATATTTTACAATATATAACCTTGGAGCTGGTATTAAGTTTGACAAGTATAATCAACAGAAATTAATTATTTAATTTTTCATTAACAGAACAATTGAAATGAAACATCAGAACTTTTATCAATCTATTATATAAACATGTTATATACCAGTGGTTCTCAACCTATGGGTCGCTTTAAATCTTTATAGGGACACAAAATGACAGCTGTCACCTTGCGTCAAAACGTCTTTGGAGATGCTCGATTGTATGGATCGGACAGGGTAGAAACATCTAATTCCACAAAGGCGGTTTTTACAAAAATGTTGAAAAACGCTGTTTTGTAGCATTTCCTTTGGTAATTAATTACAATTAATAATTTACTTCAACTTTTTAATTTAGTAGAAAATATTATAAAATGAAACTGTACATTTGAGAAATACAAGTTTAGACTTGTTTTACATCTTGCTACGAACCTATACAAAAACAATTCTATGTGAATTTGTACAAAATGTCATTTTTTATTAATAATTAATATACGTAATAGGAAGGGGTTTCCAGAAGGAAGCTCATTATTGAAAGAAGAAGAAGAACATACGTAATTATTAATGATTAATTCATGATTAATTCATGATTTTAAGAAATATTACAAATAAACTTAAATTAATTGTATTTCACAGGTATTATTTTGATTGACAAAACTTTGTTTAAATGATTTAAGTTGTTTGTAATTGACAGTAAATAACTAATGATTACCAACTACATTTAAAATTACTATACTATAAAAGTTGGTAGTCCTTTCATTCAATATATTTATATGACGTTTTGTTATTGTTGCTGATGTCAATGAATATATGTTGTTGAGTTTTTGGAATTGGATTTGAGCTTGTAGGTATTTTGAAACTACCTTTTGGACAGGTGAGACAAGTCAATGTGTACAAGAAGGTATGTATGAACGTGTACTTGTGTGAAGTTATTCAATCGTTTTGTTCGTATGGCAGAGCTGTCGTAGTAGTGACGTGCGAAGGAGTAGTAGTTAGTGGTCGGTCGTAATGGAAAAAGAGGAATCCGAGATGCGACGTGGCAGAAGGAAAGGTCGTGTAGGTAAAGCAAACACGCGCGTCCCGTGTTCTCGTTGGGATTCCGAGAGGGCCGAAGGATACGGAAACCGGGGGTCGTCCTCGATGGTGGTGCACCGCGATCGGGTACCTCTGGGCCATCATTCGCGACCGATTAACTTGCACGCGATGCGGCCAAGTGGAGGAGAAGAAGAAGAAGGAGGAGGAGGATGGAGACCGCACGGAGGAGGAAGGATGGATGGATGATGCTGCTGCTTCTGCTGCTGCAAAGATCTTCAACAGTAGCTCTCCCGCGTTCCCGAGAACAGACTTTCACCGTTATTATCATTATAACCCGGCAGCCACCTCGTGTGTAACCGGGGTTACCCTGATCACACGGTTCTTGCACAGAACATGACCACAACAACTATAACATAACATCATCATCATCATCATCTTCTTCTTCATCGTCCTCGCAGTCGACGTTCTTCTCCACCTCCCCTGGAGCAACAAGCGAATCGCTCGATGCGCGTCTCCATTAATCCGATGTGTGTTTATGGTCGAATAAAATCGGAATTTAATAGACTTAGTATTTAGAAGGAGAGAAAGAAGACACGACGATGGCTTTGATGAAGGTGGCGTTGGAGGAGGAGGAGGAGGAGAAAAAACCGTTTCGCGGTTCCGCATTTTTCAGGTAATTCTGGGCTCACGAAGAGCGGTTCGATCGAAAGAGCGAGGCCTCCGGGGCCCGACCCGACTCGCTCCCGGAGTCTCGAATCGCTCCCGGACCTGTTCCAGTTCCCAGACTCCGGATCACGACCGAAACGCTCCTTCTTCTTCACCATCATCATCATCATCGTCGGAGCACAGAGTCTCGTCTCCTCTTCTCCTCCAGCTAGCGCGCCTCTCTAGATACCGCAACGGTCATCCGAGGAGAGGTGAAGGAGAGATGAAAAAAGAGAGAGAGAAGAAGGAGAAGGACACCGATTCTTCTTCTCCAACGCAACGCAGAACAAGAAAAAAAAACTAATAATACTAATAATATATTCATAATGACTTTACGGAGAAACAATCATTCCTCTTCTCGTTTCTTCTCATTTATTCATTTACATCTTCTTCCTCCTTCTCATTTTATTTCTTCTGCTTTCTTCTTAAATGCCCATAATCACATTAATCTGTTCCCAGTTCATCATCCTCATCACGGTTTCACTTATCCCAATTCCCAGCCATTTGGCTTCTTAATAATTTTACACTTTCTACGACGTATTCGTTTCAACATTGCATCAATCATCATCATTTAACTACACCAAATTTTCAATTAAAAAAAAAACATACATTCCTTGTAAAATCTAATTGAGTTGTAACGTAACAATTTAGAAAAATTATTGAGAAACGTAATTGAACTACAAAAATATGATTTTATGGATTATATAACTTGTCAATCTTGGATTATACTTGGTGACTAGTTTTTGAAGGTAATGTTATATCAACTAAAATATATGGTTGCAAAAGGTAACGTTTCTTTTATGACACGATGCATTTCTAGAACTAAATTATAAAAGTAAGATAATGAATTTAAATGTTTTCACATTTAGTTTAATGATTGGTAGATTTGAAATTTAAATTTCTGAAGATGCAGAGAACTTAAATTCGGAAAATAAAGTGCATATTTACTTAGCCAAATCATTAATAAAGAGTTTATGCGTAATGTACAATATTATATAATCTTGAATCGATTATATATATATAGAAATATTTTGCAAAAACAGTCGTGAATTCCCATACTTAATATCGCTGAACAAATGGAGAGAGGAGCTAAGGTATCTGTTGAAACGTATCACATAAATTGCATGGAAATGGCTCGTCTTCGATGGAAGAGTTGAGGCCGACCGGCTGCAGAGCTGAAGCGCACTTTCGGCAGGACAGTAAAGTCCGAATTGTATCACCCGATGGCAACTCGGACGACCGTAAAATTGGTGAATTATCAGCGGTGCTAATGAAACGGACGCACACTTTCTCTCCTCGTCTGCTCTTCGGCAGTTTCTTGAGAGGTCGTCGCACGTGTAACAATATATCGGTTTCCGATACGATCGCAGCCAAAGATAGACAAAGTCTGCGTGGGCACCTCGAAATTATTATTACACATATTTATGTTTTTTTCTTCTTCTCTTTCATTCTGTTGTTTTATTGTTGTTCTTGTTGTTGTTGTATCTCTTCCTCTGTTGTTCTTCCATTATTTAGTGGGATTCCACGATCAAAAATCGATTGTTCCGAGGTGTAGCGATGTTGCGAGTGTGAGGTTGAGGTGAGGTTGTTGAAGTGAGCTGAGCGAACGGACGGACGAGTAATGCGGGGGTGGCGACCCATAACCCAACACGAAGCGATCCCAGGAACGTAATGGTAAGACACATATATAACACCCGAGGCGCCAATAACGCGGATGTTTATCGCGCTTATATTTCGTGGATTAGCTCCAGAAGAGAGCTCTTCTTCTGGCCGCATGCGATGGATGGAGATAGGCCTGTCATCATCATCCATCGGCCGGTTTTCATCCTCTCCTCTTCATTCTTCATCCTTATCCTCATCCACCTCTTCGTCTGCTGCAGCTCAAATGGTCAAACCAAATTGAGCAAATGGGTTCCTCCACCTTCACTTCCTCATCAGTACCGGTCTTCCGTCCTGCTTCCACTCGTTATGCAATCAGCGTGGAACTCGATGTCGCAACTGGGATTTTATTGAATGAATGGTACTCGGATATTTTTGTGCAGCTCATAGCTGCCTCGGATCATGGTA